TGTTCTGTTGGTTTAAATACTAGGTGGTATTATTAAGCTACCTTTGTATTATTGATCGACCTTGTCTTTATTAAAGGTGTGTTAAGGAGTGATATCAATCATGTCTAAAAGCCTTTTACTTTAGGACTTAGGAAATGTGTGAAAGAGTAATGTTAATCAGATCCTCAAATCTTAATATCTTAAGTTTTTGAGTTCATATGATTTTTTGACAAGTATTAGTCCTTCCCATGCATTGTTAGTGAGTTAATATAAAACTATTATAGAGTAATGTAAACCATATCCTGAAATCTCATGGGCATGTTTCACTTGATAGGTTAAGCTTTTAGATTAACATATTATTTGACATTGTAATCATTCTTCTAATTCATTAAAAAATTCAACACAAAATAATGGTGAGTTTGTATAACTTTGAAGTTTAAAGAGCTCTTGTTTTAGACGATGTGTTAGTGAGTTAATCTAAACTCATTCTTGAGACCTCACGTAATAATTTAAACTTTTGAGTTGACATAATTTTTTATCATGCATAATCCTTATACTTGATGCAATATATATGTGTGTGTATGTGTATGTGTGAAAGACAAAATCTAATTGACGAACAAAACCAACAAGGGAGTGGCTCAAAAGGTATAATACAATTAGAAAGTTTCAAAGCAAAGTTAGAAGCTCTTAAAAAGTGTCAAAGAGTCATTTCAACCTAAAAGTTTAAGTTAGGTAACGTTCCAACAATGATTTTATATTATTCTTTAACACACCCCTTAAGTGAAAACCTTTTAAGTTTGAAACTTACACGAGTTCAGAATAATTTGTACTTAATTAATTAGAAGAGAAATAAAGATGATAAGATTCGCACTCGCTACTATTTGGTCATAAAAATTTTGATAACATGTCAAAAAATCATATCAACTCAAAAACTTAAATTGTTATGCAAAGTTCTATGAATGATTTTATATTATTCTGTAGCAAAGAGTAATTGGTTAAAAATTCTCTATTTTTCTTGGTGTTGCATTGAGATGACTAATTAATTGTGCTTCCACTGAATTTAGCATGTCTATATTTTGTTTCTCTTTCTACTACCATTATTTATATTTCTTTCTATTTCATAAAAATGGCTAGCTCTCAAGCATCCATGTTTGATTTCATTTCCTTTCGTGCATAAACATAAATAGAATATTGGCCAGCATGGCTACGAAGATTGTGGGACGAGAAGAAAAAGCATGTACTTGCTTTGAGGCTTGCCGAAAACCTAATAAAGCAAGAAGAATCATGGAATCCAGACAAAAGACCAAAATACGGCCCGGAAGGACAAACTTCTGCAGATCAAAGTAGTGACGCATCGACTACTGACATTGAACAAGGTGATCAAAAAATTGTTTTCCAAAGCAAAGAAATAGAAGTAGTCCTAAGGCGACCAGCACAAACCTCAGCGACAAAGCCATTGTTAACTAGAAAGGAGAAGCCACTGTTTATTGCAGCTAGACAAGGAATAGAAGAGGTTGTGAGTGTGATACTAGAACAACATCCTCAGGCTATTGAGCAATTGGATGACGATTGGCGGAGCATTTTGGATGAGGCCGTCATGCATCGCAAGAACGAGATCTTCAGTTTTGTAAAGCGAAAGAAAGTACCATTGGCTAGACTGGGTCTGAATATTGATAAAGAAGGCAACACATTGTTACACCATGTTGCAGATATGAAGCACTACAGTGGAGGAACCAGGCCTGGGCCTGCACTTCAACTTCAGGAAGAGATGCAATGGTTCGAGGTGAGCCCTTCTCATCCCTTTATCTTTACCTCCTGAGAAAATTTATTGATGGACTTAGATACAAGATTATCCCTGTAGTTTATAATGCATATCTATATAAGCATTCATATATAGAAAATGCCATTAAACTTTTCTTTTTCTTTTTGAGAAATCAAAGTGAATGCAATATCATTTGTTTTTCATTCTCTTTAGCTTCTTCTACAATCATTTTAAATCTTATTTTTTCAACAATATTAATTACATCATAATTTTACGATATAACGAAGTCCAAAATATTCACTCTTGTAGTATTCTTATAACAAAACAATTTTACGATATAACGAAGTCCAAAATATTTCTTACTTTTTTTTCCAAATAATTCCACTTAATGTATATTAATTACTAATGTTTTCTTTGCACAAAAATCTCAAATTACAATTCTTTCTATATACTACAAATAATTGCATTGTTTAAAATCATTATCTTTAATGTTACATTTCTCATATATTACTCACCTGTAAAAGCCACTGAATCTTTTCTGGTTAATTATCATATATCTTTGCCTCAAGAAATGAGATTAAGAGCTCATTCTAATCCAAAATTTTGGTTTGGGGTTTCCTGTAATAGCTATCATATATTTATGATTATTGCAGCGAGTGAAGAAGGTAATTCCATCCCATTATGCCACGCTTCCGAACAACAAAGGCGATACAGCAAAAGAGCTCTTCAAAAAGAACCACAAGAAGCAACTGCAGAAGGCACAAAAATGGATTAAGGAAACCGCTCAGTCTTGTTCTACTGTAGCTGCACTTGTAGCTACTGTTGTCTTTGCTGCTGCCTATACTGTACCTGGAGGTTCTGATGAGAAAGGCACCCCCAACTTCATCAAATCTCCCTATTTTTTGGTTTTCACTGCATCGGATGTTGTCTCCTTAGCAAGCTCCTTGACTTCGCTTGTGGTGTTTCTCTCTTTGTTGACCTCTCCATTTGAGCAAGAAGATTTCCGTGTCTCTCTTCCTCGGAAACTTATTATTGGCTTCACCTTCCTCTTCTTCTCGGTGATGACCACCATGCTATCTTTTGGGGCAACAATTTTGATACTCATTCAGTCAGAGAAAAAGCTAACTACATTACTCCTTTCCATTGCTGCATTCCTTCCAGTCTTCGTATTTGTAATAATGCAATTCCATCTGTACGTCTCATTGATGGGCTCTACAATCAACTTTTTCGATATAACCAAAAGAGCTCTTCCTTCGCGTCTTGTCCGTCGCCTACCAGGGGGAAAAAGCACTTCTGAGCTAGGTATTGGAGATTTAAGCAGCATGAAGTTCTTGATCTTGGCTGGTTTCGACCTAGCCCATTGATCATTATACATAGTGTGTTGCAAAATCTATGGTTGCTGTTTAATTTCGTGATATTTATGAGGTTGTGTACTCATCAATTCTGGGCATGTAGCCAATAAGTATTATATATAGTGTGTCATAGTTTTGTATCTAATTGAGGATTGGGACAACTCGGGTCAATTATATATATATATGAATAAGATATGCTTTCTTAATTCCTTCGATATAAATTGAGAGAAACTATTATCTTACTGAATCAAGAAAATAGAATATTAATCCAACATAAATCAGGTTCGCATATATAGGCTCTTTTTTTTTTTTTTTTTTAGATAGAATTGCAAAAGTGAGAGAAATTCTACGTAAGGAGGATTGAATGGTAAGCAAGAAAAGATGATTCGGCCAACCTCAATGGTACTGTGCCTGTGGTTTGGTCAAATCACAAATGCATCTTTGCAGCTTCAAAAGGCAGCTTCCATTTACACCATTCACTTTTTTTTTTTTTTTTAATGAGGTAAAGCTAGATACTTGTGGGTTTTAAGCTTTGGTACACCTTAGCATCGTCTGGGCCGAACAATACATAATTTCCTGTAGATATCAGTTGAGACCACTTATGTTCAGTTTGTGCATAGCAGCCAATTATCTGCATCGTATATGCCAATGGCAACCACTTATGTTCCTGCTCATCAGTGCCTTCTCCTTTAATAGCAGGTATAAACATTCCCTGCCCACCATTTTCGAAAAAAAGTTCCAAATTATAGCAAAGAACTAATTAATTCCATTCATCGAAACAAAAGGCTATTCCAAAATCAAGGACAAGCACTGGATATAGGAATAAAGCAAGGTTCCTTTCATCAAAGCGTTGTACCAGCACTTTCGAAAAAAAGTTCCAAATTATAGCACTCCAAGCAAGGATTACTCCAACGTTCCATGAATATGAAACCAAATGTAATGCAACCCAGCAAACTTCTATTTTTCCTCCTTTAAAATGTGATGGCTAGCAATTTATGTACCTTTTGATTTTCCCTATGTACATGACTGGTTGGTGGTCTCTATAGATGATTACTAGCACAATCATTGTGGATTGTTAACTATTAGTCAACACTCAAGAGTGAGCAATATTTTGCAAGTTGTAATTGACAGTACTTGTATCAATTTCCATTAATAACATGCTGTATAAGTGCAATAGTTGTTGAATTTTTCCTTGAGAAGTATGTTGTTGGCATTCTTTATTCTAAAGTGTTGGCCTGATGCACCCAGAATACACTCGCGTGCTTGTTTCAAAGGAGAATGAGTCCATCAATGGTGGACTAAAATTTCAACAGTCACTACTGTTACTGGTGTTGAATATTTTACTGTCTCTATGATTTCATAGGTCTCTGCTATGGTGTGAATTATAGACAGCCTAACTACCGGTGGCCCCATTCTGCAGAAAACGAAAAAGTGTGCAAGATGTAAAGGTAAACGTGGAACACGCCATTGCACTAATGAAATTAAAGAAGGATTTTACACTATGCAGGTAAAGATTATTCCCATTAAGCTGTAAAGCTTGGGGGGGCAAAACGTGGTGCTTTTCAATGGGATTGCACTAATGAAAAGAGGATGGACAAAGATCGATGGTGATAAAATTCCAGACAAAAAGAAAAGGTATTTGATAAAGGGATAAAAAGCAGAAGCAGGGTTCTTACCATAAAAGTGATGTTTCACAAAGACAAGTACTCTTTGAAAAGGCATCTTAGCATGACACTGCAGCATTTGCAATTATTGTGATAGAAATCTAGATGCGTTTTATATTGGCCAAGATTGACAAGATTGAGTGTAGAAAAAGCAGGATTTTAACACAAAAATGGTGACAGATATCGATTATTGAATGTTGGAACAACAGGGTTTGTTTGGTTTCAGCGTTCTTCCTATCCGACATGCTGCAGCCATTGATGCGCTCCTGTAATGCTGATGTTGTTGATACCAAACAGAAAATCAATGGACATCTGTATCATGCTCTAATGACGGGCGACAAGAAGAAGGTCGCAGATCTCTGCCAAAGAATTCCTGATCATGCGTTGCACGTAATAACAGTAAATGATGATACGGTACTCCACATGGCTACATACGCCAAAGAAGCAACCTTGGTGGAAAAATTGCTAGATGAGTTGCCTGATCATCATGTCGACAAGTTGACCCGCCAAAATCGTGTAGGAAACACAATCCTCCATGAGACTGCCACTAGCAACCACGCAGTTGCTGTTGCAGATAAACTGCTAAAGAGAGCCCCCGGATTGTTGGGCATGCGAAACCACAACGGGGAGACAGCTCTCTTCCGTGCAGCCCGGTACGGTAAAACCGATATGTTCAACACTCTTGCTGCTAAAGTCTCTGCATATGATGAAGACAGTCTGCAATTTTATGTTCAGAGAAGTGATAAAACCACCATCCTTCACATTGCAATTCTCTCTGAGCACTTCGGTAAGCATTAAAAATCATAAGTTTATATCTTAGGAACTTCTGCTTGATCTATATGGTAGAAATTTATAAAATCTCTTTTCTGAGGCATGCTGAAGTTGTTATTCTGGTGCTCAAAATTTTTCTTATTTTTTTCTCATAAAAATTGATGAAAAAAAAAACAGAGTTGGCACGCCAAATTGCATTCGAGTACAAGCATTTAATTGGTGAAAAAGACTGCGACGGAATGACGAGTCTTCAACTTCTCTCATGCAACCCATCAGCTTTTAAACAAGAGCCTGAAGACGGATTCATTAAGTTAGGTACGAATGCTTGCTCAGTTCCTTTTTGCTAATCACAGAATACGTAAATGCAACTAAACATTTCTGACTTACTTTATCCCTTGGAAAGCAAAATCTTGTTGCAGTAAAGCTTGGTGGGAGAAGGTTCAAAGCCAAAAACATAAATATAAATCAGCTGTGGACCTTGCCAAGCTTTTAGCTAGAAATGATACCTCATGGGAAGTTACTTACTCTAGCATCGACCAGAGCAAGCCTAAAATACACAGATATGGAGAGATGGGTGGCCAAGAAGGATTGTCTTTGTCTGCTAGAATTCCTGAGAGAATGGATGATGTTGGAGAAACTCCTTTGATTTTAGCTACTAAGTCAGGCATTGTGGAGATTGTGGAAGAAATACTCAGACTTTACCCTCAAGCAGTTGAACATGTTGATGACGAAGGTCGCAATGTATTGCATGTAGCAATCAAATATCGTGAGTTAAAGATTTTCGAGCTTGTGAAGAAAATGGAAGTGCCTATGAAGAGGCTGGTAAGAAAGATCGATAATGATGGGAATTCTATTCTGCACACTGTTGGAATAAAGAGGAAGGATTTTGTTTCTGAGAGGATGGAAGGCCCTGCATTCCTATTACAAGAGGAGTTGCTATGGTTTGAGGTGCATTTTTAGACCTTTAGAATCCCCCTGTGCTTACCTATAAGTCACACACAGACTGCACTAATCTTCAATCTTTAAGCAATTGAAACAAAGTTGAGGCATTTGCGTTGCATTTCCACATACTAAACCAAAAAGATTAAAGGTCTAATACTTTTTTCTTTAGGAAAATGAAGTAATTGACATATGTTCTGATTGTTTATTTGTGCGAGAATGCAGCGAGTGGAAAAGATCACTCCACCTCATTTCCTGAACCACCAGAACAATCAGAAGCTCTCTGCAGAAGGGTTTTTTATTACTGCAAACTCTGAACTTCGTAGCACGGCGAAAGATTGGATGAAGAGCACAGCAGAAGGATCCTCAGTTGTGGCAGTTCTCATTGCTACAGTTGCCTTTGCAGCAGCCTACACAGTTCCAGGAGGTCCAAATCAGAGCACTGGTGTTCCTGTCCTCGTCAATAAACCATCCTTTGTGGTTTTCACTGTCTCGGACGTACTATCCCTTACCTTTTCTTTGACATCAGTTGTCACATTTCTCTCTATCCTCTCATCACCGTTTCGATTTAAAGATGTCAGGCATACCCTTCCCAATAAGTTGATGGCAGGATTCACATTTCTGTTCCTCTCAGTAGCTATGATGATGGTAGCATTTGGATCCACAATCATTCTGACAATATACAACAAGGAAAGTTGGGCAAAAGTCACTCTATACACAGTCTCTTTTATCCCAGTCTGCATCTTTGCACTATCTTATTTTCCTCTCTATTCATCACTATCAAAAACTTACAAATATTTGGTCGAAAACTTTCCTCCAAGTAAACTTGTTCTAGCCATGCCTTGTATGATGGTGTCTAAGTGTTTCAAATGTTGTCAACGCCAAACCTCAGATTCCCACATTCCATGAAACCCCCCTCATGGATGATAATATGTATTGTTGTTAAGAGTGTGCAATAAGTTACTGATTTGTTCATAATTGTAGGATTTCAATCAAATTTAAACCAATTTCTGATGAGCGAAGATGATCCTTGTTGCCGATACAAATGAATTCCTTCAAAGTGCTACAACTATTTATGACAGAACAAGCAAACAGATGGGGAAAAAAAAAGTAGAATATATGTATCTTTTATCCTTTCTCAACATCTGCTAATCTGGCAGTCTGGTGCTTAAAAAAATCTCACCTGAGTTGTCAAAAAAAAAAAAAAACAAGTAAATTTAGTATACAATTCAATTCAATCAAGCTGCAAGATTTGTCCTTTAGGAAAGCATTGCACTGATGGAAGAAACTTCAACTTCGATCGCAGGATTAGATACTAATATGCTACCATATGCTAATATACTATCATTATTCCAAATCAATTATGAGTTGTAAAGACTGCTGTGCATAACATGGGAATTTCTATGGCATTTCACTAATGAAACAAGATTAAAGACAAAACAGAATTTAATTCCATGAATCAACACAAAAGTTATTCCACAATCCACATTCCACATAACAAGATTAAAGACAAAGCAAGCTGATTCCTTCTCATCAAAGTGCCAATCAGCACATGAAGCAAGACTATAAACTAGTAGCTAGTTAGTGATCATAACTGTACAATAAAGAAAGGACAAGTTCAAGATTCTAACTCTAGCAAGAGTATAGACGACAGATATTATGGTAGAATATTATACTTTGTCTGCGTATTTGTCAAGATTAACAAGATCATGTTATAAGATAGCAGAAATATGATACCAAAGGACCAAGTTATGGTTGAGGATTGGAGCAGCATAAGGTAAAACCTGATGCATTCCAGTACTATTGAAGTCGATCCTAAACAGAAAATCAAAGGAGACTTGTACTATGCACTGATGACTGGAGACAAGAAGAGAGTTGCAGAACTTTGCCAAAAAATCCAGGATCATGCGTTGCACATAATAACAGTAAAAGATGATACTGTACTTCACATGGCTACATATGCGAAAGAAGCAGCCTTGGTAGAAAAATTACTCGATGAGTTACCTGACCATCATCTCAACAAGTTGACTCGCCAAAATCGTGTAGGAAACACAATACTCCATAAGACTGCCACAAGCAACCATGCTGTTGCTATTGCAGATAAACTGCTAAAGAGAGCCCCCGGATTGTTAGGCATGCGCAACCACAATGGGGAGACAGCTCTCTTTCGTGCAGTCAGGTACGGTAAACCTGATATGTTTAAGTTCCTGGCTGCTAAAGTCTCTGGATATGACGAAGCCGGTCTGCAATTTTATGTCCAGAGAAGTGATAAAACCACTATCCTTCACATGGCCATTCTTTCTCGTCATTTTGGTAAGCATTGTCAACTATAAATTCATTTCTTCCCCACTTCTGCAAGTTAATTATATTTGGCAGAAAATAAGCAATGTAATGTGATAGAAGGAAAAACTTATGCGGTTTCATTGGACTACAGATTTGGCATACCAAATTGCATTGGAATACAAACATTTAATTGGTGAAAAAGACGGTGACGGGAAGACTGCTCTTCAGCTTTTATCTTGCAACCCATCAGCTTTTAAACAAGAGCCTGAAGATGGATTCATTAGTTTAGGTATGGAAGTATGATCACTGCCTATTCAGTTTTCACTGATTCATTGAAACCAATCTAATTATGTCGCTTCCTGTCTATCAAAATGATTCCCATCTTTTTCTGTCAATCCTCTTAACACTCACGGAACATGCCTTGTTTCTGCATAATAAATTCATCCTTAGGTAACGGAATTTAAATGCAACTGATCATTTCTGATTTGAATTATTTCTTTGAAAGCTAAATCATGTGGAAATTCAGCTTGGAAGGAGAAGGTTCAAAAGCAAAAACAACAATACAAATCAGCTGTGGAGCTTGCCGAGTTTTTAGTCAGGAAAGATACCTCCTGGGAGCTTACATATCCTAGCATCGACCGGAGCAAGCCTAAAATTCATAAATATGGAGAGAAGGGAGGCCAAGAACGGCAGGAAGTGCTGTTGTCTAACAGGATTCTAGACCAAATGGAGGGTGTCGGAGAAACTCCTTTGATTTTGGCTACAAAGTCAGGCTGTGTGGAGATTGTTGAACAAATACTAAAACTGTATCCCCAGGCAGTTGAACATATTGATGATGATGGGCGCAATGTACTGCATGTAGCAATCAAATACCGCCAATTGAATATTTTTTACCTTGTGACAGGAATGGAAGTACCCATGAAGAGGCTGGCAAGGAGGATTGATAACGACGGGAATTCCATTCTGCACACCGTCGCACTAAAAAGAAAGGATTTTGTATCCGATGAGAAGATGGAAGGCCCTGCATTCCTATTACAGGAAGAGTTACTCTGGTTTGAGGTGCACTTTTAGACTTTTACCTTCCTGCTATGCATATCTATCATACACATAATTCACTTGAATCCTGAAGAAATTGGACTAAACATTGTGTAGATATGATCGGATGAAAGAACTAAAAAGATAGGCCTAATGCCATATTTCTAGTCTTTTAAAAAAAGTTGACAGACATGTTCTGCTTGTTTATCCATGTGAGAATGCAGCGCGTGGAAAGAGTCACTCCATCCCATTTCCTGAATCATCAGAACAATATGAAGCTCACTGCAGAAGGGTTTTTCATTACTGCAAATCATGAACTTCGTAATTTAGCCAAAGAATGGCTAAAGACCACAGCGGAAGGATGCACCGTTGTGGCAGTTCTCATTGCCACCGTTGCCTTCGCTGCAGCCTACACAGTTCCAGGAGGTCCAGATGAAAGTACTGGTGTTCCTCTCCTCCTCAACAAACCATTATTTGTGGTTTTCACAGTGACAGACGTACTCTCCCTTACATTTGCTTTGACCTCAGTAGTTACATTTCTCTCTATCCTAACATCACCGTTTCGATTTAAAGATTTCAAGCATACACTTCCAAATAAGTTGATGTTAAGCTTCACGTTTCTGTTCCTCTCTGTGGCCATGATGATGGTATCATTTGGGGCAACAATCTTTCTGATGATATACAGTAAACGAAGTTGGGAAAAAATTGCTCTATACGCAGTCTCCTTTATCCCAGTTGGCATCTTTGCACTGGCTTATTTCCCTTTATATTCTTCGCTATCGAAAACTTACAATTACTTGCTCCACAACATCCCTCTCTGTAAACGTATTCCAGCCATACCTTGGAAGATCTCTACATCTTTCAAATCTGGTCAACTCCAAACCACTGATTCCTACATTCCATGAAATATCCCACATATAATTATGCTACACTAAATACTTCATCCATCTGAAATCTGATGCCTGGTTATGTACATAACTACATGTCGATTAGCACAAGTGTTTGGTTTCCGTCTGTAAAAAACTTCCACCGATGGTGATTATAAGCATGATGTTTATATGAATGAGGCAGTAAGTTGTTGATTTGTACATTGTAAGGATTCCAAATAATAAAATGTTCTGATTTGTGTAATAAGTTATTGAATGGTAACATTCTTTACTTGCAAGTGTTTGGAACTGCATCATTGCCAGCTGCAGGACAGTCTACATAGTAGACAAGATGATTGTGGTATTTGCCCTAATGCATCATTTAGGCAACATGGCTGCTTCTGCATTTCCCTCTTTTCAAAGGACAGGACAGCCATCAATTCTTGGAACATACTGGTTCCCTCTTTTCTCTTATTCAAGAGTGAGGACATTTTGCTTGAAACTTGGTCGGTTCAATATACAAAGGGTTGAATCTAAACTTGGCTAGCTATTCTTGACCCCAAACATCTCAAACTTTGGTGCATTGAAACTTCAAGAGTCATTTCCAAGTGAATAATTTGCTTGCAAGTTCTGTTTAAATGTATAGCACTATAAATTAATGAAAGTTCAAGCATTAACTCCATGAATTGGATCTGTGAAAACCAAGAACTGAATTCAACCTCCAAAGTAGAAATCTTTTAAAGTTTGAGATAAATATATAACCTTTTAACTATTCTGATTGAGGTTTGGATAGAACTGTTTGTCGTAGCATTACATCATGCTTATTAACATATAACTATTATCTTACTTGGTAGGACTGAACCTTCAGAGTAACCATCGGTCGGCCGAAAATGCTGACTAACAACACTATAGTATATATATATATAAAAATTTCACAATATTATCCATCAATGGCATTTACAGCATAAAAACAGATTGGCGCAAACCTCATGGAAAACTTCAAGTATCATTCCATGATACTCTTCAGAGTTCATTGACATGTAATAATTCAACAGACTACGAAGATCTTTTGGTTCTTGTAGCCGGTTTGCCATGATCATGTCAACCATGGACTCTCTAAAATCTTCTCTTGGGTCATAGGAGCTTTTCTCCATGGCTACCATTACTATAAACTTGGTCCCGTCACTTCTTAATCTTCTTCTTCTCTCTCTTTGTCTTGCCTCCTTCCTTTCTCTAATCATCTGGTCTAGTCTCTCTTGTACCATCGCATGTGCCAGGCTTGAGATTGATGCAAACCTATCAGAATTTGAGCTCTCAGCTTCCTCGGAAGAAGAGACACTTAGTCTGCAACTGCAACACAGGGCCTTGCATCCTCTCTGCTGAAGTGTTTGCTTCTTGTATACCCTGGATGCTTTCATCCTGAAGAAGCCTGAACCTGGAGCTATGAAGGAAAACTTGCACAAAAACAAAATGATTTATGCACAATTGGCAAGTGGGTCAAACCAGACATGATTATGTCTTGAATGTGGGAAAATTTACACAACTTATGAGATCAGTAGGTTGGTTGTCTGAGAAAGAAAAGCAGGCACATTTGCACTGTTAGCTAGTGATAATGATGTGAAGTAGACCTTTAATAATTCCCTTGATAGGGTAATGTTAGGTGTCATGCTTTGGAAAGTACAGTTTATAATTATGGAAAGTATGAGGTTCCAATAAGCCTATATGATTAAATTAAGATACTATATTAAGAAAGAAAGCAATGCCTTGACAGAATTTTCGGTTGGTGTCACATGCCTAGTTGGAATCAGTTCTGGTATACTTGCTCCATTTTCAAGGATTGTGCCAAAGGCTGCTGTTGGCATGGTGGGGAGGACTAATCATGAATTTGAAGATGATCTTAAAGTAATCATCCATTAAATTATAGGGAAAAGATGTTCCTTTTGACCCACATGTTCCCATCTTCAAAAGAGCTATCCTTTGCTGATTAAGGTAGAAATGCATCCTCTATCTCAAGTCTCAATAGGGTTTTCGACTATATATTAACTGTTGATCTAGCTTTCCTCCTTTAAAAATTTCAAAGAACAACTCGTTAGGAAGTTCTAGCTAGCTTCAGTCCATTACATGAATTATTTCAATACATATTGGCAGCAAACTTTGGCAATTTCTACTGATAATGAAAAAAGCAAGTGGACAATTCAAGAAAATGGCTGGTGACATAAATGCAATAGGTCCTAAATGGATGATGCAACTGCAGAATTTATTCATGTAGCTTCTGGTTGGCAGGTTATAGCAGATTAAAGAGCTGCAATCCAGTCACAGATCTATCTGTTCTGATGGTTTTTTTAGGCAAAATAGTGAACCATATCACCACATTCTGATGATGGGGGTCCATATGGTGATAATTAACTTAATGATTATTGAAGAAGGTTGTGGGTGGATTAGAGACAAACCATGTTTTATTTTGAGTTTTGCTTCATAATTGAGCCAGAATTCTCCTTTCTAACTACTTCTAGATGATGAGATAAACTGGATTGATGAAGTGTTCACAGAATATTAAGGAAATGGTCCCTTTTCCTTTCTCCATTCAGCCTCTTTCTTTGCTTTGTTCCAATAGAGTCTAAGGCAAAGCAAAGGTGGTTCTTATGCCTACTTTGCCTGCTTGACGAAAAGGAACGAACTTTGTTTCGTTTCCTGGTTTATGTATTAGATTCAGAGCTTACCTCAGGCACCTGGTTTTCTCCGGCATATAATGGGGTCATCGTCCAACTACCTCCGTAAAATACAAGAGTTTCAATATGCTTTTACGATGACATTTTCCGGCTAAATTATCAGAATCAGTCACCTGATATACAAATGACTTGATATTATATCAAAAAAGCACTGATCTAATCCTTCCGTATCGTATAATGCAATGATGGAAGAAATCTGAAGTGGATTCTCACAGCTAGATAAGATCTCTTTAACACAAATCAAAGGGAAATGTTTAGCATGTGATGATCATTGTGCTACACCATCAATAACTAATCTAGTTTTGGATTAATTAATGACTTTAAAGCACCTAATTGTCATCCAAATGCTACACATCACATGTTGGTATAATGATTAGTATTAGTATCAAAGGCAAAGCCTAAGTCCCTTGGGATTAAAAAGATGCATAGACTCATCAAATGACAACTGTTTCTTAACCTTTTTTCCCAATTCTTTCAGATTATGTATGGCAGGTAATGAAGGGAAGAATGAGTCACAGCTCATGACTCATTGCAATGTTCATAAGAGTAACAGAATTTTTCGATAGGTAAAATGAACATCTTCGAATTCTTAAACCAGAATTTGGGCATAAACAAACTTCCATACCTAGAGTATTTACATCTGCAGTGAATAACATCAGCAATATATCTTTCATAGAATTGTTCAAGGTTATGATGAGTCAAAGGCCTGTCTCTGCGATAATTTGCTAATCAAAACTTAATAGGTTGTCTTCGAATTTTACAAGGTTTGAGCCCATTTAGATGATGGGACAGTTCTGCTGATGGTTCATGTTCAGGACTTTCAAGGGAAGGTTACAAGTGAAGATAGTCCACAGATCTCTGTAAGAGTCAGTGCTTGGAGCCCATCAGTTCATCCGTCTGTCGTCAGCTCACAATTTGTTTGATCCACAAGTTCGTTGCATTAACATTTTAAACATATTTACACACAAAAGTGAATTATTATCGTATCAAGACTGGAACTGATAGAAATGATATTAATTACCATAAAGATGTGATTTAGCGATAAAAGAATTGGTTAAATTAAGATTTAATTTTCATTATTTACGGATAACTTATTCTTAAGAAGTAATTTAGTAATAAACAAAAAAATTAGAAGTGTTCCTTTAGTTCGAAATATAATAGATTTAGTCTCAATCAATGTCTTTAAAAAAAAAAGATTTAATGTATTAAAAAATTACAAACCATATACTTTTTAATGATTTTAATTCATTTTTTAATAATTGTATAGAAAAATTACCAATTAAGTCTTCGATAACAATACTAACACAAATCTATTTTCCGATCGAAATTCCGAACAACGCTAACATAGCAGTCCACATAAGAATGACATGTGAACTTTTAGCAAGCTATATAGGATTTATGTAAGCACCGACGTGAAAAATCAATTGCATGGATCTTGCGTGGCTTGCTAAATTTCATATATCATGCTTACGTGGATTTTATATGACTTTCTAAAATTCAACTGTCATGTTTTGTCACTACCATGTAAACGTTGTCCGAAATTTTGATTGAAAAATCATATCACTATTAATATTGTTGTCAAAAACTTCATTGGTGACCTTTTTATATAATTTTTAAAAAATAAATTAAAATCATTAAAACATGTATAGTTCATGATTTTTTAAAACATTAAACTTAAAAAATATATATGCAAAATTCGAATCATTTTTTTTAATGAAAAATCAAAATGGAAAGTGCTACATTTCTATTATTATTATTATTATTATTATTATTATTATTTAACTATCGTCAATGGATATTATCAAACTAATTTTAATATATCAAAATTAATTAAATGTTTTTCTTCATTCTAGGATCGCATATATATTTGAACTAATTTATAAGATTAAGTACTTTATTCGAATAATCTTAAATATGCAGTCCTTTATAAATATGGAGTTTTGATGAATCATTAAACGTTACGTTCACTGAAATCGAAGCAACTCCTAAGTAGCTTTGGATGGTATGGAGCATAATCCCACAAAATCCTTAGAATATTCCTATAGCGTTTAAACAACACGCGCCCACCAACCATAGCGCAATGGTTAGGTAAAAGCCGAATAAATTATAAATCAGGCTCTCTAGTTTTAAAAAATAAATTAAATAATTTTAGTGTTTTAAAAAATAGTTAATTAGTCTCTTGATCATATTAATTATAATTAATTTAATATTATTTTGTTATAAAAAAATATCTTATTTTTTCTTAATTTCTTTCATATTTTTTACTTGTTCATTTCTTTTTTTCTATTTATTAAAAAAATTAAAAGGAATGAAAAATGATCAAGTTATTTTATTTTATTTCAAAAAAATATCATTTTTTATTAAATTTTCTATAATTCTACTTATTTATTTTATTTTTATATTTATTAAATCAAAAAATTAAAAAAGAATAAAAAGGATTAAGTTATAAGTACATTTAAAAATAGAGGAACTAATTAATTAGTTATTGAAACTCAAAGGACTACTTAATTTATTTTGAAAAACTAAAGATACTAAATTATAATTTACTCGTAAAAGCCAATAGGTACTCACGACAACTCACCAAGAGAATCCAAACCGTCAATTTTCAGCCAAACAAATCTTCCAACTAGCCACTTTTGTAATCCCCAAAATACCCCCAAAGGGCAGGCCGCAAAATATCAAACTACCTTTCCGGGGAGGGATAAACATTCAGTAATCAGTATCAAATGGTCACAAAATAGAAAATTTTATTCAAATCAATTACTCTACTTTGATTCCTATCAAATTAGGGCTTGTACTTTCGTTTTTCACCCTCTTACCTCTAAATCAATTACAAAGTCATAGGATTGAAAGTCTTAACTTGTATTGTTATAAAAAATATAAATTTTACATTAATTCTCATTGATTAAAAATCATCAACCTTACAAAAAATTGTATAAAACCTTTAAAAGTCTTAAAGTTGGTATTTTTTTTCTTTTGAAATATTAATAATAAATAAATAACAACTATCCATTTTATGAACTTAGCTTTAAGGTTTTAAAGCCTTCTCATCCAAACTTAATTCGAAAATAATGTGACAAGGATAGGTATTATTTGATAATAAGAAATAAAGCGATGGAAATAAAAATATAAATTTTTTCTTTCACTTTATAGATGATTAGATGAAATAAAAATTAAACATAATTTTATATTTTTATTTTTATAAAGAAGGTGGATATAAAAACGGAAATGAGATTTTATTTTCAAAAGTATACATTATTATTATTATTATTATTTATTGTACAACAACTATTTATTGTCATCCACTTTAATTTAACCAAAACCAAAGTAAATGAGTTGATTGACTACATGTCAAAACTTTAGGGACTGTTTTGGGCGGAAATTCCAATGAACTACATCGCTCTTTTTAACACTCACTCTCTGCTGCAACGTAAACTCAAAAAAATAATTAAAAAAAAAACCTAAAGTGAGAGTTCAGTTAGGTGTAACTACAAAGATGGCTCCCCCTTTTTTAACTAACGGCAACCTATCCGCCTCCGGCGACTCCTCTCCGGCCAACGGACGCGTTGCTTCTGTTTACAGCGAAGTCCAATCCAGCCGTATCGATCACGCTTTACCTCTACCTTCTGTCCTCAATAAACCTTTCTCTATCGTCGACGGTCCTCGTAGTTCCGCTGCCGGCAATCCTGGTCAGTTTCGTCTCTTCTCACTCCCCTAATTTCATAGATCAATCAATAATACCGTAATTAAACTGTTAATTAATTAATTAAATCTCTAAAGTTCGGGTTTTTTTTTTTTTGGTTATGATGTGTTTGGCAGATGAGATAGCGAAGCTATTTCCGAATCTGTATGGCCAACCATCAGCAATGTTGGTGCCAAACGATGTGGATACGCTGAGTTCTGATCAGAAGTTGAAGATCGGTGTCGTTTTGTCCGGCGGACAAGCGCCCGGCGGGCATAATGTTATTTCTGGAATCTTCGGTAAGCCATCTTATTGAACTAATTGTAGTTCTTATGATTTGATATCGTTGCCGGCAATGTGTGATTTGTGATTGGTTGGTGGTGGTTTAGATTATTTGCAGAATCGAGCGAAGGGAAGCGTGTTGTATGGGTTTAAGGGAGGTCCAGCTGGGATCATGAAGTGCAAATATGTTGAATTGGATGCTGATTATATTTATCCTTATCGAAATCAGGTGAAGTTTTCGTCTATTCAAGTTTCTATGTGAATATGGAATGATTTGAATTTGTAAGTTGGATCGATGTTTATATATATACACACACGCATAAGAAACAGGGAAAAGCTTTTGTCTTTTAATGTGAATATGGGATAGTTTTGAGTTAATAATGCTGTAAGTTTGTTGACTGAGACGCTTCGAGAGTGTGTGTTGATGATTGCAATATGAGGAGGTCTATTTAGTGTAGATGTTGGATTATTGACTGGGTCGATGCAATTTGAAGGCTGTCCTATGTGGAAGTTAGCTTAAAAATAGGGGGATCTCATTCTTTAGCTGTCTTGTTTTTGTTTTGACTCCGGTACATCTATCTTTTACATGTGTGCTTGTGTGTATTAAATGGAAGCTCATACCTGATTTGATTCTTGTTTCCTTTTCTTTTAGGGTGGTTTTGATATGATCTGCAGTGGAAGAGACAAAATTGAAACGCCTGAGCAGGTGCAACTATTTCCATACATGTTTGTAGTGGAGACTTTTTCTGTAGGTTTCCATGGTTATTTTTTTGAGTAAGACTTGCTGAGGATTAATGGGTATGAACTGCAGTTCCAACAAGCTCAAGAAACAGTGAAGAAACTTGACTTGGATGGGCTTCTTGTTATTGGTGGGGATGACTCCAACACAAATGCTTGCCTCCTTGCAGAAAACTTCAGGTATACCTTGCTGGAAGTTTGTTATTGGAATATTTCTTCGAATTGGGATATGGATGCTGTAGTACGAGAAAGAGAGCTTTTTTCAACTAGCATTAGCCCTGTTGGTATGACTTGTTTCCTTTATTGCTCAATCAGGGTTAAAAATTTGAAAACTCGAGTGATTGGATGCCCAAAAACCATTGATGGTGATTTGAAATGCAAGGAGGTTCCTACCAGTTTTGGATTTGATACTGCTTGCAAGGTGAATAGATAAAATGTTGATCAAAATGTTAATATATCAGATTTTCCCTGATACTACAATATGAGTTTATTTGTTGTTGGAATTACTTAATTGTACTCTTTCGTGAAAATTTGCTTAAAAATTGTATGTGGTTGATGGAAATCCTTGCTTGAAGCGAAACAAATTATCTTTGTATATAAAAGCTTACAGATTTACAATATGATTGAGCTAAACTTATTTAAATTTTCTTGAAAATTTGTTACTTTTAACCTTTTTTGTTTCATTCAATAAACCCTCCTAAAAATGTTAATATATCATATAGACTGTCATTACACTAATGTGAATCTCCCATAGCCTGACCTTTCAATTCTGGATCGTAGAATCTCATGGTCTTCACCTTTATCTATATTTTGCATGCCTGTGCAATATATATTTACACGCACATCTTTGTGCTTTCCATTAACACCTGCCTTGTCTACCATGCCTGAGTTGTTCCACTTCATGGACATTTTTTCTGCACATTCGTTAGTGAAAGGCAATATAGTTGATACTATTATCCTGGATCTTACTGAGTCAATTGCCATATTATTGCTTGTATGCAATTTGTATTTCCGATTAACAATTTCTAGAAGTTTGCAATCTTGTCCTTCTCATGCCATGCTGCTAGTCTTTTCAATTTGATTCTAATAGTACGTAAGGTCACCTTATTTTGTCTGTTTTCTCAATAATGCTATAATGGGATGAGGTTGCAGCTAATCCTAATGCCATTGGTTGGTAGATATCCTTTTTGTTAGTAATTTCATGCTGTAGAACATTGATAATATCCTTGGTGCATGCAGATATATGCAGAAATGATTGGAAATGTCATGATTGATGCTCGATCAACTGGAAAATATTATCACTGTAAGTTTATACATTATTTTTGTTTTCAAATAGTATCCCTTTTCTCTGTTTAATGAATTCGAATTGAAGATAATACTAAGATTAGCTAATTGTATTTGATTTCTTTCCGAAATGGAATTGTGCAGATGACTATTTAAAAATCATGCTATCATGTTCTCTCACCAAGTACCTGAACATGAACTGGCACTAACTTCTGTATTTTCCTTTTAGTTACTTGTAATACTTATCCCTATATCTTTAGTTTCTTTGCAACTACACAGCTTAAACTATCCTTATTAACTGCGATAGGCTACAAGGAATTTGCTTTTTCCATACTATCTCAAACATACACAAGCATATTATACATATTACTGATTCTTAAAAGCAATGATTGCTCTTAATCTGTGTTCACTGCAGTTGTCCGCCTTATGGGACGTGCAGCTTCACACATTACATTGGAGTGTGCCTTGCAAACTCATCCAAACATCACCATCATTGGAGAAGAGGTACTTCTTGTAATTTGTTTCATTACTTTCTATTGTTTGAATGGTTGAATTTGTTATCTGGTTATTTATCAGTGTATGTGTTATGCATCTCTGTGGAAAAAAACTGTCCTATTCTTGGTGACTGCTTTGGACTTTGTCAAGTTTCAAATACCTTGTTTCCCTCTTTTGTTGCATCTAATTATGGTACCCATTTTTTGTTAGTTGACTCTGCCAAATTGATCCTTTGACTCAACCTCATTAGTAATTAATACTCAAGTTAATCTAGGAGAGTTGAGGTTATTATGACTTTTGATTGCCAAGCTTAACAATAGATTGCCCCTGCAATGGGTAGTCAATTGAGACTGAGCTTGCTTTGATAGATATGAACTGTCAAAAGTTCTAGGGACAAATCATTTAAGTAGTATCTGCAGTTCAGTTATTTTCATTTGTAGAGAGCTTCCCATATACATTCTCTTACCGTGTTTCATCTTGTTGTAGGTTGCTGCAAAGAAGCTGACGCTGAAAAGTGTTACAGATTACATAGTAAATGTAATCTGTAAACGTTCTGATCTTGGATATAACTATGGCGTGATTCTTATTCCTGA